TCAGCGGCCAGGTAGGACAAGAGATTGTGACGAGATGTCCCGGAGGAAGACAGTTATAGACCTGGTTCTACGTAGTTTTTACACTGCTGTCAAGACGGCCAGAAGGCTTTGATTTCTTTTCTTTCGGTGGGATTATCATAATTCAGAGTTTCATTGCTTTTTATTAAGGAGAACGTTAGTTTCCCGTTTAAATGGAAAGCCATCCATTTTCTTCACTGGTTGGATGAACCTCTGCATGTTCTTGAGTTGTCATCCTCTGGGAGTCAGACCCTTGGCTAGATTTGGCACCTGTCCTGTCTGGGAATCATCTGAACACAGGAGTCTGTGGTTTGCTTATGACTGAGCCTCTCACACTGAGGGTCCCCAGTTGGAAAGCAGCTCCATGAAGAAGAGATGTTTTTGTTGCAAAGTGTCAGGAAGATGATTAAGGGTGAAAAGGTTTTTCTTTTGATTTGATATTCACCTTCTGCCAGCAAAGAGGACACCACTTTCTATAATTTTAAGAGACTTTGGCAGAAAGAAAATGTTTTAGTTCCCTTTGTGACACAGAAGGAACTGAATCATGTGATAGCTTGAGTTCTGTTTCCCTGTTGTAAACAGGCCTGGGATCCCCTCCCCGCCTCTCACACAATGTCAGTGAGTTAAACACAAATGCAGTTAGTGAATTACAGACTGTTTAGATTGGGTTTAGTTTTAAACTGAGACTGCTAGTGCCTTTGAAGGAAGGTCCATTGTATATGGGGTATAAGTCAAATGAAAGACAAATTATTATAACAATTAAGGCTAATTCTGTTTGGGAATCAAACTATTGAGGGAAAGGGCAGCTAAAATCAGACCTTTTATTGCTGTTTCTTCTAAGAGCAGCCTAGGATTTACTTTGAAATGTTTTTAAGCAAAATAATCTAAAAATAGATTATTAGCATAAAAATAAGCAGTCTTCCTTAGAAATTGGAGTGGAAACAAAGAAAATTTTCAAATTTCTCTTTGTAATAGACATGACTGAGAAATGATGAGCTCTCACCTTCCGGCCTGTGAGAAGGGAACAGATAATAGGACATTGTGATTGTGGGTATGAAAAACATTCCTGTAAACCAGAAGAGTGTGCAGTTACACAGTGGTGTTCATTACTTGCATCATACAGCCTCAGCGGTGAGTCCACCTGCCACAGGCGTCTCACGTTTCAGTCTAAGTGATGTGCTTGCCGTTGCCCACTATGCTCGGGCTCTGTGCCCACTGGGTCTTTACAGAGGAGCCCTGGCAGCGCAGTGCTTAAGCGCTCAGCTGCTAACCAAATAGTTCGAACTCCCCAGCTGCTTCATGGGAGAAAGAGGTGGCAGTCTGCTTCCGTAAAGATTACAGCCTTGGGGACTCTACTCGGCAGTTCTGTTCTTACGAGGTCGCCATGAGTTGGAATTGACCGATGCAAAGGGGTGCTTTCCCAGTGTGCAGTCAGGATTCTGTCAGGTGAACTAGAGGGCTGACTCATATTTCTTTAAACCCCTGGCAGGTCATTCTTCTTATCTCCAGTGTCTGTCGTTTCACCTTCGGTTTGCCCTCTTCCCCTAAGTGGGGCTGGTGGTCAGTAGCTGTTGAGTCAGTTCTGACCCATCATGACCCCATGTGCTACAGAGTAGGGCTGCTCTGTAGGGTTTTTGTGGCCATAACCTTAACTCCCCAGGCTTTTTCTTCCACAGTACTCCTGGGTGGGCTCACACCTTTAACCACTCAACTGCTAACCATTTGCCCCACCTATGTACCCCTCTATCTCAAGAGAGGATTGGCGAGCTTAGATGGACTGGGGAGTGGGGAGCAGCTTTTGGCAAGGAGGAGTCACTCCTGCAGGTGGAAGGTTTTCTTGCAGGCCCTTCAGGTGCATGCTTTTGAGGTTCATCCAGGGGTTTTCCCAGACCTAGTTCTGCTTTAGTCGAGCAGATAGGAAAAGATACAGACAGTATGGTGGACAACGAGTTAACATTTACTAAGTGATTGGTGCAGTTATGTGGTGTGTGTGTGTGTGTGTGTGTGTGTTTGTGTTTAAATCAGGCTGCTTCCTGTTATGTGTGCACAAAACAGAAAGATAGTGAAAATCGTAAACTAGTCTTCCATGCATTTATAAAAATACCTGCCAGTCGCACTGCAGATCTGAACGGCTGTTGATGACCAAGTTTGGTTTCATGCGGTGACCTTTCATCATTCTTGTGGTTGTGTGTCCTGGGCCCACCACCCACTGAGTATTTGAACTGTTACTGTGTTCTTTTTGTTCCTGAACTGACTGCCTTCTGGTATGAGGAATGGAAACCCATTATATGATTGTCTTTTGCTGAGCAGAATCATGAGGAGAGAGCAAATGACATAGTGTGTGATTCAAAGCAAGGACGGCAAGGGTGCCTCAAACTGGAGAGACTGGGGGGAGCCCAGCCACTGCGTGGGGACGTTTTAGAACCTGGGTCCAGTCTTGGAAACAGTGGCTGCATAGACACCCTCCTGCTCGGCCCTTTGAGTTTTGGTGGTGGGACGATTCATGACCCTGCATCTTGGACTTTCTGTAAACAGTCATCTACAAACTTGGATCCCACGGCTCCAGAGAGTCTAGAGGTGTATCCCAGGGGCGCTTTGCTGTCAATATTCACAATTGTGATTGGATGGTTAAAAAATTAAAATGGCCGCTAGGGATTATCGGTAAGTGGATGAGTTCTTAAGTTGATGAACTGTCTGATGTGGATTTTCCATGCCCCAAATTTTGCAGTTTAAATAAGCAGTTTTGTTTAAAAGAAAATCATAAATCACAGACCTTGAACTGGGCATGACTTCGGGGCAACACTTCCATATCTTGTTTCCTGCACGTCTTTTATTTTAGCTCTAGTTTGATGCTGGCTGTGTTTTTCCTGTCTGGTCTGATGGGCACCCATTTGAGAGCAGGTGGCCATCCAGCGGAGAGCACACATGGTTTGCTAAGGAACACGTACGAGCTGTACTTGGCTCAGTGTTAACGGAGACATGTGGATAGAAGGGGAGTTATCTGTCAGCTCCCATTGAGCCTTAAGTGTTTATTCCATCTTCAACAGCAGTTTTCCCACCACATTCTTACCAGTGTTTGAATATGTCCCCAGAGTGAGTTTCTGTCCTGAGGGTGTCTTAGGCACTGTTGATGTTTACTTTCACACAGACATGTCTAGTCTGTCCAGAGAAGAAGTGCTTCCTTGACCCAAATATGAGTACTTTGGATGAGGAATGCATGAATCGTTACACATTGTGCAAGAAACAAAATCAGTCAGTACTTGAGAGAATGTAGTACATAGTAGAAAGGGGAAGTTGAACAGTGTGTACAGCTGAGGCTTACTCTTTCCTTGAAGGAGGCTGCTGAAGTCACCTGTCACCCTGCCTGTCCCTCACTGGTCTCTGCTTGACTCCTTTCTTCCTTCTCTGCCTCCTTTTCTGATCTGTCTGCTCTTCTTTTCCCCTTTCCCCCTCCTGGCTGCTCACCTCATCTGCAGAAGGAAGGAACAGGTTCAAGGAGATTCCCTAACCTGTCGAGTGACATCTCGGAGCTCTAGTGTGACGGAGCTGTGTCTAGGCCCATTTGGTTACAAACCGACCATTCTGTTCTGGCTCCTGACTTGTGGTGTGTTACTTGGCACTTACGATGTAGAGATGAGACATTGCCTGACCTCTCGGGCACCTTACAGGCGAGTAGGTAAGAAGCACTAGTGCACGCTGTGTAGGTGCTGGCTGCTGTTGGGGGAATTCCAGCTGGTGGCAGCCGCACGTACCCTCTGCACTACATGCCAGGAACTAATGGAATCATACGGGGGAGTGCCGTGGCAGTTCTGGGAAGAGAAAACCCTCCGCTTTAGTGGATGTTTGATCCCTCCATATCCCCTGTCTTGCTCAGGTGGGGTGCAAGGTCCCCTGTAGAGACTCCAAGCATCATGTATAATACTGTCACCTTGAGTAATGGCTGCGAATGTTTTTTTTCCTACAACCAGCCTTCCTCTTCCATCCAAGCCTGTGTGGACGTCAGTGGTAGCACATCTTCACGGAACGCTGCCCGCCCTGATCTAGCCCGAATGCCAAAGCGGGCTCTTCCCCCAGCTCTGCCCTGCCGTTGGGGCCCTGCTGTAACTTGCCGAGAGTCATTTTATGGCAGGGTCTTTCTCAGCTGCTGGAGCCACTGGGGCCAGGGTTCTGGGTGAGTGGCCATTAGGGCCACTAAAGGTAAACACTAAAAGGAGGGAAGAAGGGACACAATTCTTTCCCCCAGGAGAAGTTAGGATTAAATTAGGATCTTACTAAAAATCGGTGGAATCCTCCTTGGGGATTTTATTTTTATAAACGCAGGTAGAACTTTATTAACACTAGACATCCTGTGATGCGTTGATGCTAGTTTCTTCTGTGGATGAGTATTGAATCTGTAATTGGTTCTTCAATTGTAACCTATTTCTTTTAATGTGGTATCCCGAAACACAGTCCAGGACCATATCTGATGAGGGCTCCAGTACTGATAATTTTGCCAGTGGAATTGAATGCTTTCATGGTGGAAATGTTTTTGGAAGTATCTTTTTAGAAAGAGAGTATGATAAATCCAGTAAGAAATAACCCATCTTCTACTTGCTACACCAAAACCTGCTTTTCTCTTACCCCAGCAGGGTCAGTCTGCTTCACTGTGATTGGATAGGAGCTGTGTTGGTAATGTTGATCTTAGGCCCTGTGCAGTCGGTTTCAACTCACAGTGAACCCATCACAG